GTTAAAATGTTTCTTTACTTATTTAATTTAATCCTTTTTTTGACTTATTTAACCGCTGTAACACCTTTGTATCAAACAAGTCCCAGCAAAGAAAGAGATATCTAAAATGCATCTAATATGCATCAAAAAACTGGTCTAAATTCAAGTCGTGAACGGGACATAAATAGATGTCTATCTTATAGATGTCTTTTAGCTAACAAATTTGAACGATTGTCACCAAGGATTTATCGTTGTGACCTGATAAGTTTTTATCCAAATGAAAAGATTACCTTCGATTCCTTACATTTTTAGTTTGTAAAGCATTTATTGATGTGGCACATTGTCAATTTGGCAAAATCCAAAAATATAACGTCAACTGGTAGTTTTTTTGCCAAATTTCTAGTTAAGAAATCCATTGTTTTAAAAAGATTTAAAATTTATATTAATAATTAATTATATTTATACATTGTTTTAAAGAGATTTGAAAAGCAATTATATTTATTTCTTTTTACAAAGTGTTCGTTATGAAATAACTATTATTAATAATTAATTATATTTATACATTGTTTTAAAGAGATTTGAAAAGCAATTATATTTATTTCTTTTTACAAAGTGTTCGTTATGAAATAACTATTATTGAACAACCAAAAAACTCAATTGGTTAACCAGCAACAGTTAAGTAAGTTCTCTAAATAAAAAGTAAACTTGTTGATGATGACGCTAAATTTACAACTTTACGATGAGAAAGATTGTTCTTTCATTTCTATTTAAGAAGAAAAATAGATTTACCATAGATTTTTTATATTATAAAACAATATAAAAAAAAACTTGTATATGTAAAATGAATATACGTATAAACGTAAGAACTACAACTATAAAAAAGTCCAACTATTGAATTTGATAAGGATAAAAAATATGAAGGCTGAAAATGGATTAAATACATTTAATAGTTTTCCAAATGTAACTCCCTTTAGTAATAATTTTAGATTTAGTACAGGTGACGGTAATATTTTGGTAGATTTCACTTTTAAAACAGGAGAATATGGACTTTAACTAAATATTTAAATGATCATTAACTCAATAATAGTCATTTGGCGAATACAATTACATTTACACAAGAAGTTTTTAAAATGAGAGCAGTTTTGACTCTAACAAAGTTTCAAGTTGATTTTACAACTCCAAATTTAATTAGAACTCTTTTTGGTTTTGATATTAGAATGAACACTGGAGGCAGTAATGTATCAGAAAATACAACTTATTATTTGCATGTTAATACTATAATATGTAACAAATGATCTTACGCAAAGGACATATTTTGGGTGATACAACTAAAAATATTATATAATAATTTTGCCTAAAAGTAGGTGTTGGATTTAAAATTGCAGAAAAACCAAATTTCCCAGTATTTGCCGTTAACAACAAATTCAATTTTACAGTTTAGCTGCTGGAAATGCTGCAGTTAATAAAGATACTGGAAATGATGCTTTTTACATGAAAAAGAATGGTCAGGGAGTTAAGTTAAAAGCTGCAGGATCTAATTTATTTATAAATCGATGGAGTGGTTGTGAAAGTTATTCAGACGGGGGAATGTATATCAAAAGTAGAAATGGATATACATTAACAGGTGCAGGTTTATTATTAGGACAAAGTTTACGATTTGCTAGTATTCCATTTTTAAACATGATTCTGTAAAGTTTTTGTTAAACCAGTGACTCCTTTCACTCTAAAAGTATATATTTTTTGAAATATATTTTTAAAATGCGCAAATTGGTATATAAACTTTATTTAATCCACTTCTATACTTTCCATAATTATTTTAATCTTGCGGAAATAAGCACATAAAATTTGCATTTTCTCTTATAGTTCTCCTAGGTTACTCAAAAATACTTTCTGCAAGATAGAAACAATCTACATCACTATGTCTCTCTCTATTATAGTATTTTTCACTCTTATTTTGTTTGGTTATTTATCAAATATCATTAAATTATTCTTATAAGTACCAAGACCTTCAGGATCTGGTACATCATCTGCTGTTTGAAAAAACTTACACTCTATATTTATTTTTTTTCTTTTAAATTTTTTGAAATGTCTTCAATTATTTAATTTTTATTTAATTTTTCGCATTTAATAATTCTATTTTATCTTGTAACTTATATAGTTCAAGAATAACTTATTTTTGTAGTTTTTTTTAAAAAGATCTTTTTAATATTTTGTATTCTGGTTGAAAAAGAGATTTTCCAAAAGCATGTAACTATATATAATAAATTTATATAAAATCTTTTCTATATAAAATGCCAGTAAATAAAATGGGATATATTGAAGGATATATAAAACAAAAAAAAGAATTTTTTATGCCGCACATGGATTTACAACAGAAAGCAAGTAATACTGGGGCAAGAAATAAAGCTGTTCCAATTTGTGATGAGTTAAAAAAAAAAAATGTGATCATTGATGATCTGTATAAACCAATACAGAATAATTTAAAAATAATTTAAAGAATTATTAATCTTAAAAGAAATTTAGTTTTCATAAAAGATCCAAATTCATATAAAATAAATTTAAAAAAATATATATAATCAATAAAATAAAATTAATTAACAACAAATAAAATAATAATAACTATTGGATCTACAAAAATAGTAACTAATGTCAATTTTTGATATATTAAATTTTACATAAACACCAATGATTGATGAAGAAATTAAAAAATGTAAATTCTATGAATATGAACCGGGATCTTGTTCAAATATATATAAATCAGGATCACAAAGAAGTATCAACACTGAACAGTAAAATCTGTTTAAACTTCCATCTGAAGCTTATATTTTGATTGAAGGAAAAATGAAATAATAAATTAAATAAAATGCTAATTATAAAGAAAAAGAGATATATGAAGAAATATGTTATTAGTGGAAGTGGAATATTTGATAGCATTGAAAATCTATTTAGACGAGTAGCATTGTCAAATGTAACTAAAGTATCATCTGCAAAGAATAAACTAGCTACTTAAAATTTAACAAAAACTGCATTAAGTGCTGAAAAGTCAGCAGGAAAAGAACTTGCTACTAATGCAATATCCGCCACTAAAGATGTTGTAATAGACAAAGGAAATCAACTCATTCAAAAAGTATCAACAATCAAATCTATTTTACCTAAAAATAAAAAAATACTTACAAATTTAATTTAAATCTGGATCTAAAGATATAAATAATCTATTTGATGAATTAACAACAGATATAAAAATAATAACTATTAAATCAGCAATAAATAAAATTTCAAATGAGAATGCAATCAGAATTGAATGTTTAGTTAAAAAAGAACGCGGTCTTAGAATAGCATTACTTTAAAAAATGCAGATTTTTAAAAATGATATTAAAAAAATTGTCTTTTATATAAAAAAATAAAATGTCAGCTTCTAATATATTACATAAACACCATTGATTGATGAAGAAATTAAAAAATGTAAATTCTATGAAAATGAACCGAGATCTCGTACAAATATAAAAAACCAGGATCAGAAATAAGTATCAACACTGAACAGCAAAATCTGTTTACACTTCCATCTGAAGCTTATATTTTGATTAAAAGAAGACTTCTTAAAACTGATAAAACAGCTTATGCTAATACAGATGCAGTTTCACTTGTAAACAATCGTCTTATGTACTTATTTAAACGAGCAGAGTATCAGTTATCAGGCCAAACTGTGGAATCATGTAATAATGTAGGCCAAGCAACTAAAATGTTAGTAATGCTTAAATATCCAAATGACTTTCAATTAGCGGAAAGTTTAAATCAGTTATGGTATAAAGATTCAGCATCAACTGCAGTACTTGCTGATAATACAGGATTTGCGGTAAGACAATCTTTTTTCTTTTGCATTTGCTTCCTGAAATAAATATTTAAATAAATAAATATTTATTTAAGAAAGCAAATGCAAAAGCAACATTTTTATTTTGCATTCCTCCAAAACATTATTTTGGATTCTGCAATGATTATAACAAAGTTGTTTACGGAATAAAAGAGTCATTAACTCTCGTTCGACATAGCGATAACAATGCGTTTGACAGATTATAAGCAGATATTAGGAAGATTTATGACACTAAAATTAAATTTTTTTTAAAAAAATTAAATTTCCAAAAAATTTTATATTTACTCATGAAAACAAAGAAGATTTTATTAATGCTACCTTGTGTCACATTTGTGAAGAACAGTTAGAAGATGATAGAGTACGAGACCACTGTCATACTTCCGGTAACTATGGAGCTGCTGATCCAAGGCCTTCTAAAGTAGAAGACCCGCTCATGGAATGAAAAAACTCTTGTGACGTCACTTTAGTAGTCCGATGTTGTATTTTTCGATTATCTATTTGTTTCTAAATATTTCAAATTGTAAATATTAAAGATTTAGTTTTCACATTTTCAATGAAGTTTGTTATGAATTTGGAACATTTTAAGCAATTTTATTAAAGTGTGAAATAGTTAGTGTTTTTAAACTTCTACAGATCCAAATATGAAAGAATTCGTCAAATTCCTCAAGAAAATTTTCCTTCAAATAAAACTGTGTGAAAAAAATATCTCTTTCATACACTTATTGTTTGTGTTGATACAATGAAACGAGATGATAGTTCTGTAATATGTGTTGAGAGAAAAAGACCAAAATTAACACAAGATTTTTACCCATCATTGTTTCCCAACATTTCTTTTTATTTATCAATAAAATTTATATTTACAATAACCTTGTTGTTGGATTGTTTACTTGTATTTTGAAAATAGACAGCAGTTTGGTGGCTAAGGTACTTAACGATGAATGTAAACTTTCTTATTTGACTCAATTGTCTACTAGGTTAACACAAATTTTTTATGGTAATAAAAATACTCTAAATGTCCAGTTCAGATTATGTTTTATTAATTCAATGTATTTTAAATAATCTAAGTGAGCGAGTTAAAGACAGTAACAAAATTCTACAGATGTTCATAAATGTTTAATATTTTTATGTGAACAAATGAAATTTTATTGATTTA